CAGTCAGGCCCATTGCAATTCGCTGCAATCTCTAATCCACTATTTGCCTCTGGGCATATAATGGGCAGGCATGATCAGTCATTAGCCTGCCATCGTTGAAGAGGAGATGTTTAAATTACTGGTGATGTTCATTTTTGTCTTGCCATGTGGACCATTGCATGTCACCTATTTAATTCACCTTCATCTCCACCATTATTACATCCTCATGTACGATTGTTAATTAAAGTGTAAAGCGCCTTGGATAAGGTACTATATACATTTTAAGATAATATAAGATGGTTAATATATGTAATAACCAATGTGTGTTCCACTGCACGAGATGTACTACGAAGGGTTAAGGAACAAAGCAAAATAGACTATGGATTCTTGAGGATAATGCTTCTAACCATGCCCATTCAAACAAGTTTGAATGTGTTTCCGCGGTGAACACTTGACGACTAGGGTTGTGACCATTCACATCCCTGGCAAAGTCATTGCAATGTCACAGTTCAGGGTCATAATTCGATTTTTTGTGTTACACTACGGCGAGTGTAAAAGCCTCGATTGAGAGTGCAAGTGGCTTCACATTGGAGGCTGTCGCCACCTCTCACCATCCTGCGATGCAACAATCCATCTGGCTGCTTGCACGCGAGTCGATTCCATCGCTCCGTCCCTCCCCGATTCGTACGCACGCGATTTCGATGCGGCTCGTGCGGGCTTTAAGTCCCGATATTAATCAAGGAATCGGTGCGCCCCTGGTGCATAGCCATTGTGGTGAGAAAAAAAAAGCATTTGATGGGCTTTTGTTTTATTTATTATTGTACTCAATTCCCCCCCCCACCCCCCCGATGCAAAAATTGTAATATTATTTACCTGCTATATGTTTGGATTTCTTGCAAAGAAGCGCGTGATGACCTTTACTCATCCGGACCGCATTTCTAAATGATCGTCGACACCACATCTGTGCATCGTGAGATGCGGGAAAAAAACAACTAAACTACTTGAATCAAAGCAGATGATGTCTGTATTCACGCACGTAGGAGGTGTTGCTGTTGTCTGAACTTCCAGTGCTGCATACGAAGCGACCCGGTCTACTTGGGAATGCTCTTTGTCTGCTTGATCTTGGGCCCACGGTTGTCTCTCGGCAAACACATTCAAGAACTTTGTGACCGGTTAAAAAAATACTACATCCGCCATCACCGCAGTGGATTGTTTTTGTCGTAAAACAAAAAAATCGTAACACTATGTAACACAATTTTTGTTCCTGAGTAGTAAGTGTTGTTTTGTATTGCTTATGCCTCAAAAGTACAGAAAATGGCTATTATAATTATTATTATTCCCCACAAACTTTGCTTTTGTGACCAGGACTTTATGTGAAGGAATGACACAAATGCACACCACGTTTTCTCATTGAAAATGAGTACATTTCAAAATATCAATGTCCTGGTCAAAAAAGCAAAGTTTGTGGGAAATAATAGCCATTTTCTGTACTTTTGAGGCATAATCAATTAGGAAATAACACTTACTATCCAGGACCAATATGTTTTTTGTTACACATTGCATAATCAATTCCAGATTATTATTTTTTGGGGAGGGGGGGCGACTGGAAGAGGCGTACCCCGTGGCCCCTACTGTCGGGTCCAAACATTTTGGTTGAATATTTAACACCAGCGGCAGGTTTTCCGCAAAGTTCACCAGTTCCGTGAACGCCCTTAAGCACGAGGCGAAGTGTGCCCCTGAGTGTCCACTTCACTTCAGTGACTCAGCGCACACTTAGTCGGTTCGCCTGTACGGGTTACGCAGCATGCACGTGTGTTGAACTTCTTTCGCACCGTACGCAGCCAGCCGTGCTCATCGGAGGTGTGGGGGTGGGGGGGGAAGAACAACGAACTAAACATACACACACACAAACAAGCAGCTCTGCGATAGTTGGACGGAGCTGGACAATATGCAGTTTAGCACGATCAAGCCATTGTCGTCACAGCGTTCCCTCCTCACATGCACTCAAAGAACACCTGAGCGCTGGGGGTGAGTTGGGGGAGTGGTGGCAGAATGTGTGATGGACAACGGCAGATCGCATCGTTAATCATTGCGTTTTGCTTTAACAGACTGCTTTAAATTCATATTTTGGGGGGTCTTTCGGTAAAGTCACGTAGATAGGTTGAACGAAAATAACAAACAAAAAACGAATCCGTTTCGATCACAACACAAGCGATGTTTTGTTTTTACTTCTGATGACGGTCGCTTGTGTTGTGATCGAAACGTCGTCGTTTTTTGTTATTTCCGTTCAACCTATCTACGTGACTTTACCGAAAGACCCAAAACAAATAGAATTCAAACCAGTCTGTTAATGCCAACACATGGTTGCTCAACACAGAGTTGATCACACAGGGTTGATCAATCATGTGTTGATCAACTCTGTGTTGATCAACAGAGTTGATCACACAGGGTTGATCAATCATGTGTTGATCAACTCTGTGTTGATCAACTCTGTGTTGATCAACACAGAGTTGATCACACAGGGTTGATCAACACCGGGTTGATCAACGCATGATTGATCGCACATGGTTTATCGACACAGTATCGATCACACTTGGTTGATCAACACAGGGTTGATCACACAGGGCTGATCGAGTGATGAGTACTCGTGGTAGATGCTGCAGGTTGTATTGAGAGGCAAAAGTTTGTAGTTGCCGTAGAATGCCACCCGCTCGAATGTATGTTGTTATTCGCGAGGATGAAAGTAAATGCTTTCCCGTCTGAGGGCAATGCTTCGTTTTACCTGTTCGACTGTAATGCGTGTGTGTAGCCAATCTTCCACTGCCACATTTCAACCTTTGCCAAAAAAAGATTTTGTAATTGTAATAAACGGAGTGCCGCTCAAGAAACGTGTATTTACATTTCCATGCTACAAGCTGCCGGGAAGAAAAGAATGACACGATATAATCCACGCAATATCGTGTATTCCCCGTTCATATTCCCGGTTCATACTCTACCGGGCAGCAGCAGCAGCGTCCCACTGGGCCTTAACCTCGGCGCCGACCCTAGGACACGCTGCTGCTGACGGGACAATGTCGCTCGGCTGGCCTGGGAATTACCCAGGAAGAGCTAGTGTCTGTTTATAGTAGTGTATAATGTATATTAGTCTATAGTGTAGTAGTGTAATGTATAGTGTAGTAGTGTATAGTAGTGTATAGTGTAGTGGTGTATAGTGTATAATAGTGTATAGTGTAGTAGTGTATAGTAGCCGATAGTGTAGTAGTGTATAGTAGTGTATAGTAGTGTATAGTGTAGTAGTGTATAGTGTAATAGTGTTTAGTGGTGTATAGTAGTGTATAATGTAGTAGTGTATAGTGTAGTAGTGTATAGTAGTGTATAGTGTAGTAGTGTATAGTAGTGTATAGTGTAGTAGTGTATAGTGTAGTAGTGTATAGTGTAGTAGTGTATTGTAGTGTATAGTGTAGTAGTGTATAGTGTAGTAGTGTATAGTAGTGTATAGTGTATAGTAGTCTATAGTGTAGCAGTGTATAGTAGTGTATAGTAGTGTAGTAGTGTATAGTGTAGTAGTATATAGTAATGTATAGTGTAGTAGTGTATAGTAGTGTAGTGTATTGTAGTGTATAGTGTAGTAGTGAATAGTGTATAGTAGTGTAGTGCATAAAGTGTATAGTGTATAGTAGTGTATAATAGTGTATAGTGTAGTAGTGTATAGTAGTGTATAGTAATGCATAGTTTTGTAGTGTATAGTAGTGTATAGTGTAGTAGTGTATAGTAGTGTATAGTGTAGTATAGTGTAGTGTATAGTAGTGTATGGTATAGTAGTGTATAGTAGTGTATATGGTAGTAGTGTATAGTGTATAATAGTGTATAGTGTAGTAGTGTATAGTAGTGTATAGTGTAGTAGTGTATAGTGTGTAGTAGTGTATAGTGGTGTAGTATAGAAGTGTATAGCAGTGTATATTGTAGAAGTGTATAGTGTAATAGTGTATAGCAGTGTATAGTGTATAGCAGTGTATAGTGCAGTAGTGTATAGTGTAATAGTGTTTAGTGGTGTATAGCGTATAGTAGTGCATAGTGTAGTAGTGTATAGTGTAGTGTATAGTGTAGTAGTGTATAGTGTAGTAGTGTATAGTGTGTCGTAATGTATAGTGGTGTATAGTGTAGTAGTGTATAGCAGTGTATAGTGTAGTAGTGTATAGTGTAATAATGTATAGTAGTGTATAGTGGTGTATAGTGTAGTAGTGTATAGCAGTGTATAGTGTAGTAGTGTATAGTGTAATAGTGTATAGCGGTGTATAGTGTAGTAGTGTAAAGTGTAGTAGTGTATAGTGTAGTAGTGTATAGTGTAGTAATGTGTAGTACTGTATAGTGTAATAGTGTATAGTGGTGTATAGTGTAGTAGTGTATAGTGTAATAGTGTATAGTGGTGTATAGTGTAATAGTGTATAGTGGTGTATAGTGTAGTAGTGTATAGTGTATAGTAGTGTATAGTAGTTTATAGTGTATAGTAGTGTATAGTGTAGTGTATAGTAGTGTATAGTGTATAGTAGTGTATATTAGTGTTTAGTGTATAGTAGTGTATAGTGTAGTAGTGTATAGTAGTGTATAGTGTAGTAGTGTATAGTGGTGTATAGTGTATAGTAGTGTATAGTGTATTAGTGTATAGTGTATAGTAGTGTATAGTGTATATTAGTGTATAGTAGTGTATAGTAGTGTATAGTAGTGTATAGTGTAGTAGTGTATAGTGTAGTAGTGTATAGTGTAGTAGTGTATAGTGTAGTAGTGTATAGTAGTGTAGTAGTGTATAGTGTATAGCAGTGTATAGTGTATGGTAGTGTAGTAGTGTATAGTAGTGTATAGTGTAGTAGTGTATAGTGTAGTAGTGTATAGTAGTGTATAGTGTATAGTAGTGTATAGTAGTGCTGGAGTCTGTCGCCAGGGAGTGGGAGGTGTGGACCGCCACTACTCAACACGCTGCCGCCGCGACGCTCACCAGGACCAAGCGGACTGAGAAACGAACGTACGAACGAACTTTCGTATTTTTGTAAGTGAACTGTCAATCATTCCAACATTCATTGCTCATCTTTAAAAAAAAACAAATAATGTTTCCAACATTATATACTTATGCAAATAAAATCAATATCCAGGTGTATGCAATTACTGTGAATTCCGAATGTAAATCGTTGCAACTTAGTACGACATCAATTCAGAAGGAATAAAAATGTGTCTGCTACTTGGAAGGGCCACGACCATAAAGCACTCGACATTTGTCCCGTGACCACAATGAAGAGGTGTGAACGTAGCTGTTTCTTTTAGGGTATAAAACATGTAAAACAAAGCTACTGCAGTAAAAAAGTACAGTAGTTTCTGCGATTTGTTTATTTATTACATCTTGTTTTCATATATAGGCTGAATGAATAAACAAGCATTTTTTTAAAGGAACAGCTGCAAATTCCAAGTATATCGTAATAATTAAAATAAGCCATGATTAGTCCAGTGCAATTTTAGGTTTCTAAAGCTCTACATAAGCTTCGAATCATTTTTTTTCCCGCTGGGAGGAAATCCATCAATGCGATCTTCAGTTTTGCTGATTCACGGGAGAGGACCCTGTGTCGCGAGGACGATAGCCAGGATAATGAACAAGACGTGCGCCGGCAATGACGGGCCTCTCTTCGATGTGCTAGAGTTGTCCGCGTTTGCGTCTGCCAGAAAGAAAGAAAAAAGACACCGAAATTAAAAACAGCTTGAGAGTTGAAAAAAAAAGATACGCACGCGCATACACGCACACACGCGCGCGCAATGACGTACACACGCACACACGCGCGCGTAATGACGTACACACGCACACACGCGCGCGTAATGACGTACACACGCACACACGCACACACGCGCGCGCAATGACGTACACAGCATTCGGATCCACGTGGTTGGAGTGACCGTTTTGTGTCATCCCATACTGAATTCAGCCAGATCACAACAACGCTCAGGCACTCACACAACAACAATAACAACAACAAAACTGCCATTCGCCACTCAGTCAACACGGCGCTTGTGCCAGGCTATGTGCACTTTAAGGTCACGTGAAGTGTCGAACGGCCGCTGGCTGGCAGGAGGTCATGGGGCAGATCCAGCAGGTGCCATGGGTTGACTGACTGGGATGACTGGCCGACTCACTCACTCGATCACACACTCACCCACTTAGCTCATCACACTGCAGGTCAAAACACTCAGTTCCTACTTCACTGCGCGTAATCGTTCATAAAGTAAAAGCGGGCAGTTTGATTTATCCAGCACTCACTTGCTCACTCATGGCGGGCGGTCATCCCCATATCACTCTTCTATTGCTACTACTCACCCGTTTATTCCTTCACCTGTGTTGGGGACTCGGCCTACCAGATTGACTGGTTCACCTCATCCGTATAACATTCAGCCACCACACTGCAGATCACAAGAGCACCCACCCACTCACACATCACCCACTCATTCACTCACTCACACTCACCCACCCACTTATCACACTGCAGATCAAAAAACACTTATCTTTGCTCCTTCAATTGCACTGCTCTGCTTTAGGAATTACATCCCATCGTCTCTTTCCCCAAGTTCCTATGACCTTGCTCAGTTCAACGGACACATCAACACACGGACTCTCATCTATTGCAACGTTAAGAGTGATATTGTTTCTGGCCACTTGGCATGAAAGCCTCCCCATGGAATCTTCAATCATGGGAGTTGCTTGTCCACATTTCATCACACCGGTCATTGACTGTTTGTGGGTAATTGTGCATACCTCCAAGATCATGTGTTTAGTAAACGAGCACACATACAACGATGGGGATTGCAGAAACATAAGGCTACAGAAGCCTTTCTGCATAATGATGCAGTCTTATCGGGCTACAATGCAAGTGCAATTTATTTCACTGATAAGCCTCTGACAAGGGTCACGGTGAGCCAAGAGAGCAAAGGGGGTCTATTCATTTCAACACGATGGTTGTTGATGGGACCTGTCATTTCATTCACTTCTTTTACCCCAACACCTGCCGATCACTTTAAGACACTCTAAGACGAGTGGCTGTTCACCTCCTAACGAGCAATCTACAAGTGACGCAATCTCTATGGGCGCATGCGAAAAGTTTACCGGCTCTTGCCGCTCAAGTTTTCAGAAGCCCAACACGTTTTAACGGTGCCTCACAAGAACGCCTGAGCTTGCACGTGCCACTGGACACTTGCACACTGGACACGTGCCCAATTGTCGAGAGTCGCACTGGCTGTGGGGTCACCACGGTGAGCACGCCGCGCTCGCAATCCAGAGGTCGCCGGTTCGACTCGATCTCCCCGGCGTGGCAGTTGAAACAACGGCGCAGGTTTCTTGAATCGTCACCCTAACCCACCCACCCACCCACCACCACCACCTATGTCCACCCATCGACAGGTGCGCGTATGGTGAAGTAGAGTCTGGGTCGCCCCACTTATTTATTTTACATTTATACAGAGCGCCTAGGCCCCGCGGCGCTTTGCACAGTTTCTAAAAGCGGCAACAACAACAAAATTATGGCAAGGGGCAGTGCAAGGGCCGACGAATGAGTGACCCTTCACTGACGGCACGTAGGGGGTCACGGATGGGTAATAGGGGAGGGACGGGAAGGAGTTGGAGGGGCGAAGGGAAGAGGGAGGGGATGGGCAATGGAGAAGAGGTGAGGCTTTGAGAGAATAACGAAGGAGGGTTGAGGAGGGGGACTGCTTAATGTACACCTCTTCTGAGATGTCTCGCTAGAATGGAAGAGTAGGCCAAATACCCTTGAGAGCTCGCACTAATGGAGGCCCTTCCGACCAGCAGTGGAGTGAGCAAGCTGATCCAGGGCTGCCCATGTATCCTTATGATAAGTAATTACTGAAAAGCGTCTAGCCTTTGCGTTAGCCCTGACACACTCTTATAGCACCAAACGCACGCACCCAACATAAAAAAAATTACCGCGCAGAACAACTGACTCATGTATCCATCAACTCAATAAAAGTTAGTTCATCCGACATCAGCAATTACATCTTTAAAATCAATTACATTTTAGTGGCCAACTGATAAAGTGCTACTCTGCATTGTTATAAAGTTGCTCAAATATAGCCTGAGATACATTTGAACAGTGTTCTAATTTAAATTATGAAAGCCATTTTTAAAATATTTTATGATGCTGGATTTATGATCTTAGGTTTTACATGCATCATAACTTATTGTTTACGAGCCAATGTTATCTTCTGCACCGTTTCACTGTTATAGATTTATTGGATTGGAAAGCAAATTTAAAATGTAAATGGGGCAGGAACTGCAAAGTCCTGCAACCCATAATACACCCCCCCCCCCCCGAGTTATACCATGTGTGAGACACTACCTCTCAGATGTGGTGTTAAGAACGCACCATGACATACAGAGCTTAAGGGCGGAAACTAACAACACAGTATCAGTAATAGACAGGAGAAGTACACCAATCAAAGAAATGAACAGCTCGAAATAATGATAACAAGAAAAATACTCTCCTCTGATTTCTTGGTGGAATTACATTTTCACGTGTATATGATTATGCTTATAGAGGTAAAGAGCTAAAGGTGCAGCACTGAAATTACGTTCTCAGGCCACTGACGGTGGAAGGGACTCGACTAGAAGGAGCTGTGTAGAAAGGCCCTCCGGAGTGTATTTTTGGTGTACACTTCAACGTTCGTGCACTACCAATCACACCATGGCAATCCCTCCGTTCTAGATTTGAAGCTTTCGTGACTGCAAGGATCCATACTCTTTGGTTCTATTCGGTAAAGTCACGTAGGTAAAAAAATAAAACAACAATAATCACGACGTTTCGGCCACAACACAAGTGGCCTTCATCAGGTGAAGGGACCGGACTGTCCAGAGGACAGCGTTGGAGTGAAGACAGCCCAGCCCAGGTCGCGACCACAAGCTTAAAGGACGCGACCTGGGCTTGGCTGTCTTCACTCCAACACTGTCCTCTGGACAGTCCGGTCCCTTCATCTGATGAAGGCCACTTGTGTTGTGGCCGAAACGTCGTGATTTTTGTTGTTTTACTTTTTACCTACGTGATTTTACCGAATAGAACCAAAGAGTATGAATCCCTCCGTTGCTTACTTGCTATTTGTATTCAATAATAATGACATTTACAACGCGCCAGATTTTCCAGACAAGTCAACAACTCAAAGGCGCAGGGCCAAGCTCAGGGCTGCTCGAAAGCCTGACCCAAACAGATAGACGAGGCCTTTAGATGTTTCTTTACAAGTCAGAGTGCATTTGATGTTGCGAATGTGCAAAGGGATAAAGTTCCGCACTGAGGGGGCGACAGCGGAGAACTGAAGTGAGGCTTTAACAGTATAGTTTAGTGGATAGTAGTTTAGTGTATAGTAGCGAATAGTAGTGTATAGTCGTGGATAATAGTGCGTATAGTAGTGTAGTGTGTAGTAGTGTAGTGTATATTAATGTACTGTATAGTGTATAGTAGTGTATTGTATAGTAGTGTAGTGTATCGTAGTGTATTGTGTATACTGTAATGTATAGTAGTGTATAGTGTTGTGTATAGTAGTGTAGTGTATTGCATAGTGTCGTGTATAGTGTAGTGTATAGTAGCGTAGTGTATAGTGTAGCGTATAGTGATACTAGGCTGTAACAGTTCGAGACCTCGATGTCCGAAGCAAATTTTGAGTGACGCATGTACGTATGCATCGATTCACCATTTAAAATCAATTCTTAAGCACACGACACACGCATAAATCACTTATTAACTATTCATACAAATTACACGCAAGCAATATCTTACGATAACATTCAGGGTGATAGAGGAAACAAAAACAAAATATGAATAAAACAACAAAAAACGTAGACGGTAAAATCAAGGGAGAAATAATAATCGATGCTTCAATTGAATGATGTTAGCAAATTGCGACAATTCATGAATGCGCGTGCGTGGGTGCGTGGGTGTGATTAATCGCGTACGTATTTGTGGCAGTCGCTTGCAGGCGGAACACGCACCGCCGCCGGACTGTGCATATTATTTATTTGCAAGGCAAGGACACGGCAAATCACGGGGCCTCCGAGCTGTGCAAGAAACGTGATACATTCGGCCGTGTTCTTATTAATTGAGGTGCCACGTGGACGGACGTTGCCCTAGGGAGGTGGAGAGGGGGGGGGTCGTCAGTGAGGGATGATGTGCTCCGAACAATGTTGCGGATGCTGAAAACCACCCCCAGGGTGTCCGTGTTAATGAGCAGCGCATTCTCCTCACCGGGGTTAGTCCGGATACGAAGCTGGGGACTGGCGGGGCCCTCTCCGTCCTCGCTGTGGGCCCTCACTTGGATGACGTACGTTTCGCTGTCAGGGAAGGTCAGCTCCACATACGTCTGGTTTGTCACGATCTCCTTCTGCGCGGTCCCTTCGAGCGAGTGATACGTGATCTGCACACGAGCGGCCAAACACTCACTCGTGCCTTGCTGGAATTTGCGCGCTCCGCTTTATGAACTGTCAAGAGTTCAACGCAGAAACTCACCGGCAATGTTTTCCCATCTATGTATTCAATCTCAATGTATAATGTACGCAGATGTTACCATACTGAAATGAGCAATATGTAGTGAGGTCGTGTGCTGGTATTCTCCCTGCCATAGAAATTGGGAATTTGCACCACGAGCTCAGAGAAGTGGTTAAACCACTTTGGTTATAATATTTGTAACATATCACAATTCATTTCACACTCGTACAATGTTGGTCGAACACGTGCTATCATTAACATAGTTGTATATTCTTCGTATGCATATATAAAAATCTGCTTACTAGCTTCTGATAAATTGCATATACAAGCGCGTGTACAAAAATATCACCCTGCTATTGTGCCTATATATTTTGTCCACACTCTCGGATTAACCCTTATCCATTCCATGCCTTTCAATGCTGCTTTGAATGTAAGATATTAACGCATTTACATATGAATAGCAATCTGCTGTGTGTGTGTGTGAATAGAAGAGATTACCAGAGCTGAAAATATGCACCATGTTAAGTCTCAAGAAGTGGTATTTGATATTTCATATTATCTATATATTAATCAGCAGCAAGGCTTCGTAACACCAATATTGGGTTATATATCATGATAATCACTGTGTGCTGTAAGCAAAGTGGCAATGTGGCTTTTGTGAATGCAGAAATGAAACAAAGCATCGTGTATATTATTATTATTATTCACGATCAATTGAGGGTTACTGTTGAAATTGCGGTTCAAATCAATTGTAATATCAAAAGGCAATGGCACTCGCATCCCAGTTAACAGGTCATGAGATGCATCATGTAGCCCAACGGCACTAAACCGACTTGAGCAATTGGCCGCAACAGCAGGGTTAGAGCAAGAGGCCAGTTTGAGCAGCAATTGTAGCCTGTCCCTTTGTAAATATTGCTCTAGCAAGCAGAGCACTGTATGGAATCAGCTTTTCCCGTTCGCTGATCGTGCAATGATGTCACCTCACTTTGATAGTATCGATGGGCCCCTCTTACGCTATCGATATGCATATGCGGAGGATACTGCTGCAAATATGCAGCCTAAGGGAGAATTTGAGAGAGAAAGTATATAAATATATAAGGTAAAAAAATATATATTTGGTTGCTCGCGAGCGAGCGCATGTGCTGCTTTTTGTGCGAACGCATGCATTAAGAAATTTGCCCGTAATGAGTAAAGATTTGTTGCAAAGGCAGCGAGTCTCATAATGATGGAGCTGCTTTGTCAGACGTGTCCTATCACTCATCCCACTGTCCGCCCCCATCCCGTTGTATTTTGTAATCGTCGTGCTCCCGCATTACCCTGTATCCCGTAACCGCAGACTCATCTTCTCTCGCGACGACGTTCTCCCAGTCGAGGGTCACTTTTCCACCGTCGCGACGTAACTGAAGGCCAGATGGCGGTCGGCTGGGTGCTGTGGCGTCGGGACAAGTAAGGACAAAACATCGCATTTGTTGGGCGCTGAAATGCCCCAGCATCTCAAAGTGTCTGCGGTGTATTTGTTTTAGCCTAGGGATGTCCCCTCCCACACCGCCAATGACACCTGTCCCTGTGCGGCGCGAGGTGACACAGCAGTGGCCTGCAAATGGGCCTTTGTCCACCAGCAGTGGCCGGTTTCAGCCATTGGTCATTCCAACGAAGAAATAATTTTGAAGGCATTTTTTGTTTTACAAATTTTTGGGAAAATGTTGTATCGTGACGCCGGCGCGCGGGGATCACCCGTTTTTGTTTTCAGATAACGTCACGGGATCTTTCACCGTACACGGCGACGCAGATGGGGCACGTGTTCACGGCTCGTGCGCCCCGCCGTATAAAATGGCGCGGCTGGAGGGGTTTCAACCGCAAACCGTCCTCAGCAACAAGCGGGGGATGCGCTCGATCCCGTCCGGGCCGTGTCGCGAATACAAACAATGAGGCGAAAACCACAAAAAAACAATCGGTCCACTTGACGTGAGCGCTGCATGCTTGATTGATTGAATAGATTACGAACAGTCTTGAAAATTATTGCTTTCCATCTGATATTGATTGCGTTCGTGCGGAAATGTTTATGGGGAGACGGACGACGGAGACCACGGGCACGTCCCCCTCGTGCACAGCCACAATTGGTCGCTCGATCCATCGGCAGACGGAGCCAATTCACTGGTTCATATGAACATGTCCCAAGGCTCTATTATTTTAAATGCAATTGGAATTTCCGTTTCTTAATAAAAAGATGCCATACTTTTTTTTATGTATGCATACACATATACATTGCTAGAAAGGGTAAGTGCTCTGTTATGTGCATTGTCTTTGTACTGTTCGCCTTTTGGTGTTCTCTGGTCGGACACTGGTAGTGAGACAAGGCCATGAAAAAGGCTGTCTCTAGTGTAGGCCAATCAGTTTCAAAGACAACGCATATATTATCAGAGCATGTTTGATTGCATGTTCACCACAAGTACTGTGTGTGGTTAATGCAGACTTGATTCTTTGCAAAAGGTTTCTGTTTGGTGTTTGAACATCTTAACACATCCTGTTTTATTGCCAGAAAGGGTAAAACCTATTAATATTTTGAGAACACACATGACCGTGTTCCCCACAATGTCTTGTGGGAAGTGCTGTGGGAGTACGATGTACCGGTGCCGATTAACTGCGCTATCTGTTCCCTCTATTCCCGGAGTGAGAGCTGTGTCCGTATTCTTGGTGTTAAATAAAAGTCGGTCACTGTGGGTGTCGGACTCCGCCAAGGGTGTGTCTTGTGTCCACTCCTGTTTGTTATTTTCATGGACAGGATATCGATGCGCAGCCGAGGTACGGAGAGTATCCAGTACGGGGACATGGAGGTAACGTCGCTGTTCTTTGCAGATGACGTCTTCCTCTTTGCCTCGTAAGTCTGTGATCTCCAGCGTTTGATGCCGAGTGTGAAGCGGCTGGAATGAGGATCAGCACCTCCAAATGTGAGGTCGTGGTTCACTCCCGGGAGACGATGGAGTGTGCTCTCCAGGTGAGGGAGGAACAGCTGCCCTAAGTGGAGGAGTTTAAATACCCCGAGGTGTCTTTCGCGAGTGATGGTAAATGGAGCGGGAGATCGACCCGTGGATCGGTGCGGCGTCCGCAGTGTTGCGGGCAGTGAAGCGGAAGCTGAGTTCTCGAACAAAGCTCGCGGTTTATAGGTCGATCTATGTTCTCACCCTCACCTATGGTCATGACCTTAGGGTAATGTCCGAAAGGATGAGACCGAGGGTACAACGGGCAGAAATTAGGTTTCTCCGCAGGGTTGCCGCGATCCCTCTCCGTGATCGGGTGAGGAGCGCGTTAATCCAGGGGAACCTCAGAGTCGAGCCGCTGCTCCTCCTGATCGAGAGGGGCCAGCTGAGGTGGTTCAGACACCCGGTAAGGATGCCCCCCGGTAGACTCCCCCTGGAACTCTACCGGGCAGCAGCAGCAACGTCCCACTGGGCGAAAGATCCCGGGGCTGGCCTGGCCCAGACACGCTGGTGGCCTGAGAACGCCTGGGAATTCCCCAGGAAGAGCTAGAGTCTGTATAAATCTTGGCTAAAAGCTTTCGTGACTGCAGGAATTCATATTCTTCGCGTCTTTCGGTAAAGTAACGTAGATAGGTTCAAAGAAAATAACAAAAAAACTAAAACTACGACGTTTCAATCGCAACACAAGCGGTTGTCTTCAGGAAAAGGGGGGTAAGCTTCCAAAGCCAAACTATTTATAAGGGTTTGAAATGGGTGTAACCCAAATGTCAGCAGCCAACCCGAGTGGTGGGCAGCCAACCCGACGGTGGTTGGTTTGGATTGGTGGAAAACCAACCACCGGAAAAGCGGCCTGAGTAACGAATGAACCATTTTCATATGGTACGATTAATAACGTGTGCATGTGAGAGTAATTTACGAAAATGTTCAAAAATGTGTTTATATATATTTGCCCCAGGTGGTACAGCAGTAAAATATGTGGCTTGCAATCGAAAAGATGCAAATTCAAATTACCATTAGGGGTCGACTCAGCCCACCATCCTTCTGGGGTTAATAACATGAGTACTGCCTTTCATTCAAAGTCAACCCCACCATATAAATATGAAATTTCATTCACTGGCTCAGAGCTGGTTTATGAGTGGGTTCACTTACAGCAATTGATTGGAAACACACTTTCATTTAAATGTATTCATCCACAAACGAGCATCTGAAGTCAGGAAACTGGACCAACTTTGTAATTTTTTTAATAAGTTCTAAAGTTTCTCTACTTGGTAGGTTTCCGCATTCGTGCCCTATCGCCCTCCGATGAGCTTCCGTGCTGGACTGCGCGTTGCGGGGCACGTTCAACATTTCCCTCCACATGCCGCGTGCTTCTTCAGCTAACCGAATTGAAATCGCTTGCAACAAGCGGAGCTTCGCACCAAAAGGCACCCCGCTTCGCTCCTCGTGCCTGTGAGATGACTCAACAATTCAGTTGCTAGAGAGGCTCCCAGCGCGTGCGGGCGAAATGAAACGTCAGACGTCATGCGGAACAAAGCCCGTGGCGCAGCGAACTGCGGTGGCTCGCTTGCGCTGAATGAAAAAATCGTACCCGCCGTTCGGCAAAAAAAAATAACAAAACGGAGAGCGTCGTGCCATGAAATTCCTACGTGATTTCTTGGTGGTGACCGTCGTTACTTCACTCGGGGGTCCGACCCCTGCGCTGTTGTAGGCGCGCGCCGCAACCTCGTATTGCGTGTTGCACTTGAGCCCCGAGATGCGAGCAGCCGTGTCCGAGCCGGCCACCCTGATCCTCTCCGCCATGTCCTCCCTCTCGCCACTTTTCCAGAACACGATCTGAAGGGGGCAAAACAAAACAAAACAAACGGGAACGTGAAAAAATTGGGGAAGGAAACAAAAAGCAAAACGTGCAGAGACACCTTTCCAAAAGCAGGGACACAGCAAAGTCATCCTGCATGATGGGTTTTCATATGCGGGGCTACAATGCCGTTCGCAAAGCACCGGAACCTTGGTGTTCTTTCTCAAGGTGCCAACGTGAGCCAGCTATTTCAGTTTGCCAGTGTGTGTGTGTATGTGCGCATGCAATTTTGTAGAATGCAATTCGCCTGCGAATGTAGACAACGCTGTCGTGTGGCCTTGTTTATTGACACGTGCAATGTTAAACAAACTTTCAACTATTAAAAAACTATTTAATTTCAATGTCTGTTCGTCACAAATGATGACTCAACGAAGTGGCTTATCACGTGGGATTTTTCTAGCAGCTAAATACTCTGAACGCATGATTCTAAATTTGGAGGAATAAACTGGAGGACCCGGAGCAAAAATCCACACGACCATGGGGAAAACACGCAAACTCCAAATATACAGCAGGCGTCAGTGTCGGCATAGAACCCACAACCTCCTGCATATCAAGCGAGGACGTTATCATCTCGCCACTATTTGTTAGCAACTAGCCACCACGAGATGTCAACACATATTAATCTCGAAACAAATTGAGTAATGATCCAATCGGGCTTTTGTCTTCCGTACGTCCCCCTGGAGCTCTTACCCATTGTGCGTACAAGGAAAGGCTGTGCCTGATGCATTTTCAAAAGTAACAATTTTCATGTGGGCAGGTGGGGGTAAGTATTCAGCAGAGCAGGGGGACACCGGCCCTTCCCTGCAACACTCCGTGGCTAAATGTAGGTAACCGGCAGATATTAAAAAAAATATACATCGTTTTAGTTTTGGGAATACGGACTGATGCATTGGAATAAATTATAACTGAAACAAGAAAAAAAAGTTAATTCGGGAGTGACAAAAAATATAGTACGTTGAATATCAAAAGTAACAAGACTTACGCCTGCTATGTCATTTCCCCATAGAGTCACTCGTAAAATTTCAACTATTTTACAAATAACAAAACAACAAAAATATATACTTAAGAATGCATCTAAAGTAAGGTCTGTGAGACTTTCAATATCTCCCCATTTTAATCAACCACCTGTCAAGGATTGTAGTGTTTTTTTTTCCGGATTTACTTCAATTTGATGTAGGACCGTGTTTTTCTATTGCTTTGATCACCTTAAGGTAAAAGCTCTGTATCTGTCACGAAGAACAATATTTTCAGAAAATAGCCTATCGACTAAAATGTTCCTTCACGTGGTGAGGATAACACTGCAGACAATACTATTATATTACTCCAGAGCAGTCCAGGTGGCTTGCGAGTTTAAAGGCTGGTTGAGCACCACTTTGTGCGGAAGTCAACTGTAGTGGTTGGATCAACCCGCCCCCGTCATAGGAATATGGAATTAGCACCACTGGCTCAGGGCTGTAAACAAGAGATAAGCAATGCCTCGATGCTCATATGAACAGTAAATCACTTTAACCACTTGAAAATGTCCCGAATGACTTTACCTCCTAATGCATTCATACAGCTTGCATTTGTACATTTAATTATTATTCCACAAATATTCCATTCCAAGACGTCTTGCCAGTGTGGAAGAGTAGGCCAAATACCCTCCTGAGAAGTTATCTAGAGCTACCTCCAGTGAGCAAAACATTGCAGGGCTGTACATCAACTACTTTTTTGTTTGCTTGTTAAGAAATGTGATTCAACGAATAAGGAGTGTATGGTTCATGTGGCACTTATTCTCCACGTCAGCAGTATAAGCCGGTACGACTGAGATCCCGGCTTTGAATCTGGGGCAGTGAAAGTGATAACACGCAGATTTCAATTGTATAAAGGTGTTGCTCGTTCACCAATTGCTCCGCAAAACGCAAAGCGATTACAGGCCTGCACCTTGACTTTCGTCGCGAGCAGGAGATAGGATTGCATTTGTCAACGCCATCAAAATCTGCGTCCGTGTCAAACTCACTTCATATCCTTGCACACGTTCCAAGCTTGCATTGAGTGGAACTGGTCTCCACATCACCTCTACTTCCTTGGATGACAGGCTCCTTGCAGTCACGCTTGACGGAGGCACGTTAGGTTCTGGAGGCGACGCATTGCAAGGTGCAATTTTTCAACGTGGAAGTTTCTGAGACTAACTCACGTGACACACACGCTAAGTGTTTAGGTGGCAGTATAGGCACACACACACGTGCATGCATACATGCAAAGTAGACATTTCTTATTTAAATAATCCATCTTTGCCTTATAAAATAATACGAATGAATGTACTCTTTGGTTTTTTCGGTAAAGTCACGTAGAAATAATACAAAATAAAATTAGATAATAGCATACGACGTTTCGATCGCAACACAAGCAATCATCATCAGGTAGAGGAAATGAGATGATGATTGCTTGTGTTGCGATCGAAACGTCGTATGCTATTATATCATTTTATTTTTTATTATTTCTATGTGACTTTACCGAAAAAACCAGAGTAATTCCTGCAGTCACGAAAGCGCCTAAGCAAGTATGAATGAATGTATTAACATAGACACATAAAAATAACTCGTGTTCATTGACAAGAGGATTGAAGAGCTTCTCTTAAAATGTGACTGATCTGCCACTGAAATGGCACACTTACCCATTTGGCCATGTATAATTTAAACTTTTATCTTTTACGTGTAATTTTATGGACAATTAAAATTAATACGACCGCATATCTTCCCCATCAATGCAAATCTCTTTTCACACAATTGATTCCCACAAAAATTGACTTCAAATGCTTTAAGGCACATTTTGCCAGGGATGGGTAGCTATTAAATGACCACGGACCGCACGACAGGTCCTTAGATACAGATCTCGCCTTAGCGTTGATGGCTGCCCAGAAGCAATATCCCATCCATAGCTCCGTGTGGTTTGGCACGTGGCCCCCAAAGCATCACAATGGGCACCGTTCTTTGAATCCAAACCACTTTTCGATATTTAAAACTCCAATACCATCATGAAAGTAGCCAAATCCACGCCAAGGTCTCTGTAAATGTCACAAATGTGCTCCAGCAATGCTGAACGCACACAAGGCCAGCAGCAATGGCAAGCCATCCTGGCGTACACACACCTGCTTTGAGTCAGAATAGCTTTCACAATTTAACAAAGTAATAACGGCAACAAAGTTGCCTCGCTTTGTTGCTAAGCCGGCTCAGGGAGAGCGTGGAACAGCACGCTTGCTCGAGACCATACATGCGGCTATAAAAGACTTTGGCACAAATTGGGCTATTTTCTAGACGCTCTTGGAGTACGAAATGTCAATCAACGGTTTGGATTCAGTACACGGTGCTCTTTGTGATGCTTTGGGGCCAAGTGCCGACCACAAAAGCTCTTGGGATGGGATTTTGTTTCATTTCAGACATCAACTCCTAGGCGACCTTTATATCTGAAGAGGTGTCATATACCCCGTGTTCATTCTTCAGCCTCATAACTACCCTTGGCAGAGTGTGCTTGAAGCGGTTAAAAGTAAAACATTTTTTGTGTGAAAGATATCATTTTTGTGAAAAGAGAGTTGCATTGATGGGGCGTATATTCAAACGCGTAGATTTGAATTGATCATACAATTATTCGTAGAAGTTTAATGTTAAACTGTTTATTGTGAACAGGCTAAGCTTTACGCTTTTGTGCCAGGCCAGTCTTATATGAAGGTAATAAATAAGCAGACCTGACATATAAATACAAATGCATTCAGTCCATCAGCCTATTGATTTGTCCAAACCAATATTATCAAGCAGCATTTGTCAAAGCATGTTCTGCACCGGTTTTTAAATCCTGGGCCTCATCAGCAGTGAGGCTCGTTTAACAAACGCTGCTGGATTACCGGATGATATTGACAAGCGGACTTCATATAAACTATGGGGCCCCGTTGAATGTGAAACTAAGGCCCGTACACAAGCTCATTCCACGATGCCGTGGAGAATTATGGGTTAACGCGAATACGGTTAAGAGCTCCATTTCGTGTCTCCACATATAAATAAAATACTTCTTACTCCATCAGCCTATATTAAGATAGCTTCCTCCACCTGTATAATTTGGAGGGATCACAGGCCAGGAAGAATAGCCTCATGCACTTTTCTCGATACAAACAAATACCGTTTGTCTGGCTGACTCTGACTGACGGAAACGAAATAATAAGTTCGGCTGTATTTCCAGGCTCTTTCGGGAACCGCATTGTGCAATTTCCCAATCACTCAATCACCCCCTGTCCAGAATGCATGGAGTCAAACCTATAACCAAATCCGCGGGACACGCTGGCAAGTCTTAGCCTCCTGTCAGGCAGCGTGTGGACACCCCGTCAGGCCTCAGTAAGCGCGGCAGTGCATCGCATCTCCCGCCTTTGCAATGACAACAACGGCATCAAGATGTTTCCCACATTATGACCGGAATACATTCATGTTGTGTGCGGCCCTGTGTGCACGTTTGGAGAGCATGATTACAGTCAGTTATGGACTACAGCAGTTGCTTTTTTATATACTGTATATGGCAAGTGGAGTTGTGGGGCAGCAGTCAGTGCACCACACTGTGAACCCGGTGACCGAGTGTGATTGTGGCCATGGCTGACATTAGTGGCGAGTGACATCTAAACCGGTCCTGAGCATCGCGTTCACCAACCTGTATAGACCAGCGTGGTGAAGTATGTTCAAACAACTCCTTTGTCTGACACAGCATTGGGGGAGACCTTCATCCCCCAGTGGATTGACAAGGGGCTCTATATATTGTCATTGCTATTATCTTATTATAAATGTATGTTGTATCTAAAAGTATGTTGTATCTACTGGTTTCACATCACACATGTCTGCAAGTCTGCAGCATGTTGTCCTTCCCCTGCACCTCCGATTGAGCATGGTCGGCATCGTACGGAGCGCAAGAAGTTCAACGTACGTGCGCACACGGTGGATGTTCAGGACACGCTTCGGCAAAAATCGTAGGCGGTCGTTACCGTTTTCCGCTGAGTGCACGATGGTGATGTCGCTGAAGGCGCTCTCTCCGTTCATGTTGTACGCCCTGATCTGGACCTGGAAGGCCGTGTACGGCTTGGTGCTCTCGTTGCGGTATATGTATCGGAAGGACTCGGCCAGCGGAATGGTGACTTTCCTCCAGGGCATCGTCCCGTTCTCCCTGAAGGCCACGATGTAGCCAAAATCGGGCCCGTAGCGATGCGTTCTCTCCACGGGCTGCAAATGCAAACAGCAGCAAAGGGCGGACAGATCAGTCGGCAGTTTGTAACATTTATACTCTGCGGACGTTTAATTGGGGGATGATACCATGGTGTAATAGTTGGAACACTTCGATTTGCAATCCAGAGGGGGCCGGTTCGATCTCCCAGCCTGGCAGTTGAAACACTTGGCAATTCTTCTTCGATGCTACCATATCTGGTCCACCCAGCAGTTTTGCTGTGCTTGTCGTTTGCCCCCGGAGAGCCTCAACTGAGTCTAAATGACTCTTGGGCGCACGGCGGTGATTCGATTCGCACGTTCGCATACTTTGCGGTAATTAGCGGCTAAACTCACCTCTTCCAATATGTCTGGCCCCCTGGAAAAGTCGAGGAAAATATCGTCCAGAGAGGCCCTCTAGAATCCCCCTCCAGTGGAGGCCCTTCTACCAGTAGTGGCATGAACAAGAACCTGCAGGGCTGTCCCTTTCTATATATAAAAAAAACATGAAATGTATGCGGTGCCTGAAAAGGTCTGCAATGTGGCTCACACTTAATGCTAAATTTAGCGCCTTTTGCAACATAGTCTGCGCATGTTAATGAAAGCGTAAAATTACATTTCAATTAATATCTATTTTCGTGTGTGCTATTCTTACAACATTTCACACTTACCTGGTACGACTATTAAGCATACAAAAAAAGTAATTAGCCTGTGGTGCTAGACGACGTAAGTGAAACATTTATCACTGCCTTTGGTTTTTTTTTTGCAGAACCATTGGTGAATGGGCATAAATTATCGTCACTGGGAAAACTCAGTTCAATCCCTTTGACTGCCCCGCTTGCACAAGCATGACATCAGTCGCACTGGCTTCAGAGTTCTGACGGCGCCAATAATCACGGCTGTGATCCATCCACTCACCGCCGATTTATTCAATTTTTTGGTGACGAACAAAAACGGAGGAAAAAGTGGAGTCCTGCAAACATTTACGTCACGCCCCGCTGCTGCCGAACGGGCCTGCGCTCGAGGGAGCTCTCGAGATGTAGACCTCGAGAGGTCACGTGCTCCACTTGCTCCACACTTGTAAGAGGTGGCGGTACCCACCCTGCCCCCCACCGCACAGCCACCTGCCCATCGACCCACTGATGCTGCTGGGTGGAACAGAGGCGTGGGGCGTTTAAGAAACTCGTTTGCGTCGTCTCAAACCTGCCGAGCCAAGAGATAGATCGACGACCTCTGGATTGCACGTCCAGCGTGCTAAGCATTACACATCGGCAGGCATCCCTGTGTTTGGTAACTACTTGTTATGTGATATGAAAGGAGTATAGAAATATATTAAAGTAAATAGAAATGTATGTTTATTATGATGATAAAGGGCAATAATGTGCATACCTTTGGCATGTTATTTTCAACATGCTATTGCTAAATTTTGATTTAAAGCTTTCGTCACTGCAGGGATTCATATTCTTGGTTCTTTCGGTAAAGTCACGTAGAAGGGAAACAATAAAAACAAATATTGCTGTGGTTTTTCACACCTGATGATGATTGCTTGTGTTCCAGTCGAAACGTCGTGAGAATTGTATTGTTTTACATTTTTTATTATTTTATTGTTTCCCTTCTACAGTGAGGGAAAAGAGTATTTGATCCCCTGCTGATTTTGTTCGTTTGCCCACTGACAAAGAAATGATCAATCTATAATTTTAATGTTAGGTTTAAGGCAGAATAACAACAACAAAATCCTGAAAAACGAATGGCAAAAAATGTATAAATTGATATGCATTTTAATGAGGGAAATAAGTATTTGACCCCCCTCTCAATCAGAAAGATTTCTGGCTCCCAGGTGTATTTTTTACATGTAACGAGCTGAGATTAGGAGCACACTCTTAAAGGGAGTGCTCCTAATCTCAGCTTGTTACCTGTATAAAAGACACCTGTCCACAGAAGCAATCAATCAATCAGATTCCAAACTCTCCACCATGGCCAAGACCAAAGAGCTCTCCAAGGATATCAGGGACAAGATTGTAGACCTACACAAGGCTGGAATGGGCTACAAGACCATTGCCAAGCAGCTTGGTGAGAAGGTGACAACAGTTGGTGCGATTATTCGCAAATGGAAGAAACACAAAAGAACGGTCAATCTCCCTCAGCCTGGGGCTCCATGCAAGATCTCACCTCGTGGATTTGCAATGATAATGGGAACGGTGAGGAATCAGCCCAGAACTACACTAGAGGATCTTGTCAATGATCTCAAGGCAGCTGGGACCATAGTCACCAAGAAAACAATTGATAACACACTACACCGTGAAGGACTGAAATCCTGCAGCTCAAGAAAGCACATATACATGCCCATCTAAAGTTTGCCAATGAACATCTGGATGATTCAGAGGACAACTGAGTGAAAGTGTTGTGGTCAAATGAGACCAAAATGGAGCTCTTTGGCATCAACTCAACTCGCCGTGTTTGGAGGAGGAATGCTGCCTATGACCCCAAGAACACCATCCCCACCGTCAAACATGGAGGTGGAAACATTATGCTTTGGGGGTGTTTTTTCTTCTAAGGGGACAGGACAACTTCACCGCATCAAAGGGACGATAGACGGGGCCATGTACCGTCAAATATTGGGTGAGAACCTCCTTCCCTCAGCCAGGGCATTGAAAATGGGTCGTGGATGGGTATTCCAGCATGACAATGACCCAAAACACACGGTCAAGGCAACAAAAGAGTGGCTCAAGAAGAAGCACATTAAGGTCCTGGAGTGGCCTAGCCAGTCTCCAGACCTTAATCTCATAGAAAATCTGTGGAGGGAGCTGAAGGTTCGAGTTGCCAAACGTCAGCCTCGAAACCTTAATGACTTGGAGAAGATCTGCAAAGAGGAGTGGGACAAAATCCCTCCTGAGATGTGTGCAAACCTGGTGGCCAACTACAAGAAACGTCTGACCTCTGTGATTGCCAACAAGGGTTTTGCCACCAAGTACTAAGTCATGTTTTGCAGAGGGGTCAAATAATTATTTCCCTCATTAAAATGCAAATCAATTCATAACATTTTTGACATGCGTTTTTCTGGATTTTGTTGTTGTTATTCTGTCTCTGACTGTTCAAATAAACCTACCATTAAAATTAAAGACTGGTCATTTATTTGTCAGTGGGCAAACGTACAAAATCAGCAGGGGATCAAATTCTTCTTTCCCTCACTGTACGTGACTTTACCAAAAGAACCAAGAATATGCTATTGCTACTTATAGGAAAGACATTAGCGTGCCAATAAGGCATCTCAATAGTCATTCCCATTTTTCTTGTTCCTGGTGATTGCCTAGTAAGTGTGCGATAGCCTCCAGTCTGACTCACTGGTCATTTAATTGACCGGTAATGGATAGCAAGCTAAATGAGCCCAGGTTGTTGGTACAGTGGCTTTCAATGCGTGCTCCATATACCACCTGAATGGGTTCATAATACACCAACATCCTGTAAAATAAATAATAAAATTACCTGAAGAAAAAAACACAACACTTTTAGGATGAATGTGTATTCTCCGTCTGTAATTCATTGCAAGAAGCTACAGTTTCACATGCAATATTACAGTAATGATCTTCATTCCAGCATGAATCACTCCATTGACTGCCAAGACAAATTCATGGGGGAGACCTTGCATTGGGATGTTTGGCTCATTCCATTAATGAGTGTTTCACACGTGGGTGAAAAACTGTGCTCATAAGGCACGTGTGGAAACCCGCACATATGAAGGGTTAAAACTTAAAGCTCCACACAGATATACTGTATTCACGAGCTCATTGCTGTACCGTCATCTCCCGGCCATCCCTGCAAGCCAAAGCTTACGACACCCGGCATTGCCAGGCAGTCTGCCGTCCATGTACTCACGAGGATTAACCGTCGCTTAGCTTCTGAGCCCTGACCAAATTGGGTGCACTCGGGGTGACTCGGTCGTGGGCATGTGCGCGCTCGTGGATGGCTTTGCAGCGTGACGTGCAGAGACGCGCGTACCGTCCACGTGATAACAAGCTCATGAGCGTGTCCACCACCGCCGCCGATGTTACTTGGAGGTGTTCTGGGGGCTGTTGGTGAAACGTAAACAACGGCACGGCTGATGTACGAATATATACGGTTCCCACGCTCGCTTAGCATGCACCGTGCACGTCATCGTAGTGGAGATGGCTGTCGAGTCGGGCTCAAGGTAAAACATCAAAAGAGACAAAAGCGAAGCGCCTTTTTTTTTGCTAACCAATCAACGGCAATCGTTGGAAGAATACAACTGGAAAACACACATTGGGTGTTTGTATGACACGTGACAATTACTGATGGTGCACTGGGAAGAACAGTATGAAATAAAGAGCAGAGCAAGGACAGATCACTTAAAAAAAGGATTTGGTAATGAAAAAGCAACGTACCAACGTGCCTGAAGAAGAGTATTATTATTTTCAATCAGCGCATATCATTCACGGTGACATACGGCTTGGAAACGCGGACACAGGAAAATATTTTTACTGAAAAATCAAAGTGCACGGAGAAGCTTGGAGAGGTACAGATTCTGGGAATAGTGAACACATGTTTCAGGGAACTGGCACACACACATGGTACAGCAATTGTTAACGTTGTGGTTTACTCTCCAACACACTGGTGTGCTGAACTAGTGACGAATTGCCATGTTTTGTTCTCGTGACAAACCTTACTAATTGGCTGCGTTGGGTGGTGGTGGGTTTAATGACGCATTTATTTTTACGCGATCTAACACGGAAAAAAATAGATCTGTTACGGATAATATTGGTCGTGAAAGCCGAGGCATTACAGACATTAAGGGACATCACGTTGACCGTTACGAAAAGGAGGTGGACTTGAGCGGGGCATGTCTCGAAACAGGAATGATTGCTGATGGTCAGGTCTAGTAACAGGGTGGCCGCCAAAGGAAAGGACGCGGCCCGTGAACGTGACCACCACGGAGATGGAGCGGCGAAGTAAGATAGTGTGCACGCAGGCGTTCACGTGGATCATTGCATCATGCAACTACAAGGAATGGTGGCAACGGGAGGAGGCCTTCAGCCAGCTGTGGACTGTTCATAACTGACGATATAAGAGAATCAAGTAATGTGCACGCTTATGTAAACAATAATAATCGAGTGGGAAATGTTTTAGCTTCAAAAGGGCATTTTAGGTGAAAATCGTTACAATGGAGTTTAGCCTTCCATCAGCATTTTATTCAGATGGTCTCTGAATAATATTGTAAGTTCTGCCATGGTACAGATGATGGTGCTATTGTCAGCTTTCGCAGAATATGGCATATAGATCGCTGCATTAATTAACGTGAAGTGTAATAGGAAAATAAATGTTAATAATGTCGATCGCCTTACAACACAAAGACACGTTGACGTTGCTGATTTAACCCGCGACTCATTCTGAAAATATGCATGGGTTTTATGAACCGCGTGCTCATCCGCTGTCACGTGAGTCAGCGAGTAAAATCAAAGCCCAGGTGATTCTCTGCTCAAATGAGGATTGAGGCCGTGCTCATATCCTGTTTACATCTCCTAAAGCCAATGGTAGAATATCCACTTGCAGCAGGATAAACCATTTTTGAATTGAATGCCTTTTGGCGTCATCCGGTCCAACACCAGTGGAGACTAGGCTCTAAGAAAAGCCGTCTCGGGTGTGGACCAACAATTTCAAGGACAGTGCATATCATCAGAGTTGTCTCTTTTTATTTGCATTTTGACTGCTTGTGTTGTGGTTATTGCAAACATGATCCCTTGTATAAAGGTGTCAGTTTTGGTGCCAGATAAAAGGGTAAAAACCTATTATTAGGATAAACCAGTTTTGACCCCAGATGGATGATGGGCTGAGTCAACCACCGACCAGGATTTGAACTCGCAAAACCCTCCCAACTGCGAGCCGCTCACTCGACCGCTCAGTCACCGGTGTGCTGGATAAAAAAAAATGAGTGAACCTTCAAGGCCGCATAAACCTAGGCAGATACAACTGCCTTCCAGTCAATCCAGTTATTCTTAGAAGCCAGCCCATGGAGTTAAAGAGGAAACCTCGATGCAGTTTGACACGGTGACACTTTGACCTGGCAAAGTGGCCCAGCAAGAAACCCCTACGCTGATCCGCATTGGGATGTTGTTAAAGTGATAGGGAGGGGGGCGGGTGACGGGCTGTACCAGATGCCAACGTCCGGACGCGCCTGGATGGCGCGCTGGGGTCGCTGTCTCCCAGGAGATTGGTGGCGATTGTCTGGAATTCGTAATCCATCCAGGGCGTCAGTCCCACCACCATCACCATTTCTGAGTCGCCTGCGATATTTTCTGGATCTGTTGAATAATGCACATTGTGCCAACTGTTAATCGCCTCACAATTTGTGGTCCTTTTGACAAAAAAAACCAAACACACGTGCTTAACATTCAGAAGAATACAGGGCTACGGGGAACGGTCATCTAGCGTGATTATGAACGCGTGCCGCATTCGTATGGCGAGATATGCATCCCGGAAAATGATTCTGCACGGCTGATGGTGTCCTTCGTTCTCTGGGTGTTTATGTGATGCGAGAGAAAAACATCTTCCGGAAGGTAATTCTGAACAACCATAAAGATATATATTCAAGGAAGCTTATGGAAACACGATGTACTTTCCAGATCGAATGATGCGCCCCAAACTTTTGCTTTCAAATACACGGGGGGAGAGGTAGGCGGTGGGGGGGGGTCAAAGTGTTGGCTTATAATTTGGAGAATAATGTACGGAATTTCTTATTCTCTATATACATACTGTGAGGCTCACAGTAAGCCATTTCTTATTAAGTTTGTCAGAGTGCTGCTTGGCACAGGGAGTTCTTTCCCAGAATTTTCTTTTTTCAAGCTGTGCAAAGACTCATTGTCCTCTAAGTGCTCAACGGGAAGAACTTACAGCACGCGTCTCTAATTTAGAGATGCTGTGTCTCGACTTGTCTCCTTCTATTCAACATGCCAGGGCCGAATTTACAGATGCACTCAGAACACGGAGCGATTGATGTGAGAAACCATATCATTCTCGGCAAATTGTACATTTCAGAAGCTGCAATATCTCATTATGATTTTTTTTCATATTTGGCCACATATATAAGTGTATATCCACGTGCCTGCTGCTTTAAATATAATTAAGCATCAACAATTGATCTGATGTCATAACATTTTATACGATGGCACCTATATAAATCTATATTTGGGATTAAGATGGATAACAGTAGATTTTGTTTTATTACCATAACCAATTTCTGTAAACCAACAAATCAGTATGCTTACAACACGATACGTTTACGATGTGTCCTTGCTCAGGATTGATGCAGAGGCAAGGCATGAATGAACACGCTACAAAACCCTAAGCCAATTCAATTACAGCATTGCCATGGATCGCGCATTACATTCCCACTGCAGTTAAACATATGATGTGATCAGATCTGTTGCATGAAGTTTAGCCGCTGCATTCTCAAAATATTATTGCATTCTCAACACACGATCACATCCGACCATCAATGCCAACTTATAACACATTTATCCGTTGCGCGTGTCGTCAAAGGTAACTGTTCCGTGACCCTAGTGAAAGGAATTATTCATTTTATCAAGAGATGGCAGGCAGCCCAGTCACTCTGCCGGAGTGATCTTTACCACAGGGTCTCGTGTGGCCCAAAAAAATTAAATGGTTGTGTGACGTGAACATTTTGACAGCGACATTCTCTCACCCGTCTTGACGTCTTGCCAATCAGCAGTAAAGGGCGTTCGGCCGCGCACTTTATAGGCAGTGATGGGGCTGTGGTTGTTTAGCCCGGGGCTCCAGGACAGCACGACAGTTGTGTCGGTCACATCGTCAGCGAGCACCCCTTCTGGAGGGCTTGGAGGACCTGTTTGGCAAAACGGTTTTTTGTTGTTGTTGTTGTTGTTAAAAGGACACTGCGTAATACTCCCCTTCACCGGTGCGGTGTTCAGAGTTGGCGCGTAGACATTCGCCGGGAGGATGGTTTTAAATTCAGCACACCACTGGAAAGATGTCATAAACCAAGTCAAAACTTCAGCTACCTTATAAGCGCACGGCCTTTTTTTTTTAAACCATTTTTCATTGCCCCCGTGTAGTGAACCACCGCTTCCCCCGAACCCTCAGCATAACAAAAGACGGATTAACTTAGCCCCGCACCTCATCGTCATCCCCGGCCTGGCTCCCCCCCCCCCCGCCCCCCTTAACCTGTATTTAAGCTCGAGGCTCTCAGAGCCTCCCCACTTGATGCAGCGATCTTGCTGTGACTGTTCCACCTGAAGACGGAAGCTTGTGTTGCCTCCGAAACGTCGTGATTTGATTTAGTTGTTTTCTCTTTTATTTAGATTTTGTTTTATCTACGTGACTTTACCGAAAAAAAAACAAAAGAGTATTTGCAGGGGTCTTTTCTGCGATACCGCCATTCTGGCAGTGGTGCGAAAGAACTCAAATTCAACACACTGCAGTCAATAACACTGCCCTAAAAAAACAAACGGGCGATGTTTCGTGCCATGGCTCGTCTTCGTAGCAGATGAAGAAGCGCCATTACTATGAAGAAGGGCCGTTCTATGAAAGGTCGATGGAGGGAGGGGGGGGCGGTGTTATTGACGTTTACTGCCCTGTCGAGTCAAGTCAAAGCATATCGCAATTCAAACGAGTACCGGGCGGGACGTTCATCTCTGTTGTCACCCATAAAACGTCGATAAAAAAAATTCCACATTACCATGCTGGGAGCTGTTCTCTCCATAGGGGAACGTCTTTGATTCGCCATAAAGTAGTGCTCATAATGATAACAATGTTAATGTAGCGAAAGTGTTTTGTTGTGTGCACGAAGGAAAGCTCTGGTGAGCTTCACTGCTCGTTCCTGCTTTGATATAAATTCATATTTCCTTTATTGGGCATTGGTGTTTCATATTCTTGTCGCGTGTAACATTCTGCCTCCGCTGTCATCTGCTGGCCGAGTTTCCCTTGAAAATATCTGAAAAGCTCAATGGGCTCGACTCGCAAAATAAAATTTCCCACTGACTTCTGCTATCCAAACCCGACCGCTTGACTGCCTGTAGAAAATTCGTGCACACGAGGGTAGATCACTGAATTTCCATGAAATCATAAAACAGAGACCCACGCTCTCCACTGCATCACGTGGGCAACCACCTCAATGGACACAGAGGTTGTAGCTTTTATCGTGACGGCTGCATATTTGGAGTTTGCATGTTCTCTCCCCGTGGTCACGTGGATTTTTATCCGGGTCCTCCGGTATTTTCCCTCCACATTTAGAAGTAATGTGCGTTTAGAATATGTGGCTGCTATAAATGTCCACGTCCTAAGCCACTTTGTTGAGCGATCATTGGTGGCCTGACGCTTCTGAAAAATAGCTGTATAGCTCAGTGGGCCTTACCTGCTGAAAATAATTGTTGTTTATCGTTTAAACTTTCTGTGATCCACCAACCTTGACCTCAAGCTGATTGATTATGCGCTTTGCACAATCACCGTATTCTGTTGGTGGCATTCAGATGCCTCACCATGAGGGATCGCTGCATTTGATTGTGGGTGTGTTCTGGGAGCAGCTCGAATATCTTAAAATATCGGCAGGTTGGTTTCGATCGCTTCTCGGATACTGCTGGGAATTGGGTCACACCGTTCGAACCAGTGGTCGGTTGTGCTGCTGTAAGATATCTCGGAATATCAATGCACTGCAGTCAATCGTGGATGTGGTCTGTTGAGATCCCGTGGATAATACACGGCCATTGGCCTGCCATATTTTCAGGGTATATAAGTGGGCTGGAACTTGTGTGAAGCGCAGCTAACCGTTCTTGGAACAAACACCAATTACCCCAAAGAGCACTCCAGCAGTTTAAAGGTAATCATGAAAATTTATTTTCTCATCGAGAGTACTTTTTTTCATTTCAGTACATTTATATGAATACAGGGATGCCGCCATGCTGCAATGGTTAGCAAGCGAGAGGTCACCAGTTCGATCTCTCGGTGCGGCAGTTGAAATGATGATGAAGCTATTTTAAATCCCCAGACCTCTACCGAGGGTTATGAATGAGTGCAACGGTGTCAGTCGACTGGTGGGTCGCTTGTGGTGGGGTAAAATGTGAGTACACCCATCCTCTTCCAAGGCGCCTTGAGAAATTAGTGGAAGGCGCCTTACAGATAAATGCAAAATTATTATTGTTGTTGTATTCCAAGGTGCCTGGCCAGCAGGAAAGAGTTGGCTAAAATACCCTCTAGAGAGCACCTCTAACAGCTTCAAGTGGAGGCTCTTCTACCAGCAGTGGCATAAGCAAGCAATTGAAGTGCTGGACCTTAGATTTGTATTTATTTATAAAGAATTTAATTCAAAAGTTTATTATCGTAAAAATAATAATTATTATTTTTTTATACCAGTTATGGTCTTAACCGACTCATGGATTTACATGAAGGAGAGTGTTGTACGTAAATAAATAGCTCCCTATTGATTAGTGGACTGATTCAACTTTCAAACTAAATGAACCTGCTTTTAAACAAAAAAATCGTAACACCGAACTTCTTGACATCGCCACTTACGTGGCTGGGTGGCGACAAATCATTACGTGGGCGATACTCTGAACGGCCCGCGTTTTCCAGAGCCGTGCCTCGAATGTTGAATCCACTTATCCCCATCGTGGCATCGTGCGTTCCCCTCGCTCGCATCTGTGCTCCGGTGCATTACCACAGCGTTGCACCCCGACTGCTCGATGTGCCGAACGCGTGTCCCGCACGTACGGTTAGGCCTCTGGGCTTTAAGGGTGCCAAGTTTGGGACCATAGATTGGGGCTCACTAAGCTATCACTTTTATTATACAGCACACACACACACACTCGCACGTGTTTGAGTTTGCTGCTTTGGTAAGCGATCGGCATAATGGTTAATTCGCACCTCTGTATTCATTGCAGTAACCCCGGTAAACTGGCCTAGTGGCTCATCGCTAGAATGAGTGGGTCACAATCATAAGGTTGTGAATTCAATTCCTGGGTGTGTGTTGACTGGGCTCATCATCCCTCTGGGGTCGATAAAATAGGTATCACTTCTTGAGGAACTCAAGAGTGGTTGTTGGCCTATGGATGGTCTCACCCTGCAAAAAAAATTGTGTCATTTACACCGCTGGATCAGGGCTGTAAACAGAAAATGGGTATTACGTCCATGATCATTTTAGAAAGAAATTACTTTGACTTTTTGACTAGTAGCCACAAGGACCAATGGTAAAAAAAACTAACTTTCAAATTGACAATATTCCCTTAGAGGTTTGAATGCAACTGTAGAAATGGGTTGATCCAATTGAACGATCTTACTATCCTTATGTAGCAACCTGTGACAGGCTACACCCACCTTCTATTAGCATTCGCGTTACACTCCACAGGTTACAAATGAGTTGGTTTTCCTGAAAATGGGAATCATGATACTTTCAGAACTCTAGGCTGACCCTGCCCTATGAGTAAAATCAATCAGCCTCCAAGCTATAATTTTGAGGGCCCAAATATCAGCTTTCTAGCCTTTTCTAAAAGATCATTATAATTTACGTGTCACTCAGTTATAATTGTATGTAAATTGGACATGCATTATGTGCTTTTTTTGTCAGCATTGTACCGCTCATGTTAACTTAAACTACAAATTCCGCTTCTAATTGATCTATTTGTTTCTCTCTTCCTTCTGTTGCACTCATTAAACAAGCGCAGCAGAAATGTACATCGAATATGTAAATGCGTAAAATAAAACTAAATATTAAGTCAATGGTCCACGTTAAAAATATATTACGCTGAACATATTAGTTAAAATGTCCTCAGTGATGCAGTGACTTAAATGAACAGCTATTATTTCCTCTGCACAGCATGCAAAGGATTCAGCGAGCCACCACAATTAACACACACACATATATAACAAACGCATTTAAAGTGTAGTTGTTTACAAACTCAATTAACTCTATAAATGGATACAAATTTACATCTGACATATATCTCCATATATATAAAAGGCAAAGTTGTGAATATGTGTGTCTATTCAAAATGTTTAGCGTACTTCCCGACATACAACAAACTGGACATTTGCCATGTGGGTACTTTCCAGACTGTACACCATGCAAAAATTATAAAAATAAACTTTTTTGTTTAGGGAGGGGGGGAGCTCGATAATGCATTTATTTTTTGCACGGCAAGTGAGCTGTGACGTCAAATCTGTCACGTGACCCTCGCATGTGGAAGCGTAACGCATTGTAGTGTAGCAGGTAGCGCGCTGCGCTACGAACCCGGCGACCCGAGTTCGATTCCCGCTCACGGCCACCACCGGTGACGATTATTTGAACCGGTCCTGGGCCTCCCCTATGTCGACTCAGCCTCAAACGAGTAACTGCTGTGGTGTGTCAACATCTGCCAACATCACCACGGGGGAGACAAAGGCGGCCGGGCGTGCTGCTGGCCACCCACCCCCTCGTATGATCATAAAACAATGTTGACAACGGCAAAAATTGACAACGGCAATCCATCGTGACTTAACTAAAGTGGAACTATATATTCATGAAATTAGCTTATGACAGCAATTAAATCGAGGCTAAGATGATGTTGACTTCAGCAGATGGAGACTACAGCTGAACACAAATGCGTGTTAGAATTGAATGTGTAATTGATGCATGCATTCGTTTTGTTACTGCATTGCTAAATCACACCGCTTATTGCGGATGGTTTATATATTTTGTTTGACTGTTTAGTGGAACAAGTGATGGCATTGTCAATAGTTCAATGCAGCTCGCATGACTGTAGCTAAATTGGAAAACTGTGTACACAATGTACATAAGGAAGTGATTATGATCATGCATGTGTGTGCAGTACCAAGGTTAATGTGCAAGGCATATTG